TGTTCTGCTGCTCGTATCTTTGTGGGGAAATGGTACACAGTTTGTTCCATTTATCTCCCCCCGAGTGTCCCGCTCTCTCTTCCTGATTTGAAACACCTCCTAGACTCCTTGCCGGAGCCTGTGCTCCTGCTGGGTGACTTCAATTGTCGTCATTCTCTTTGGGGTGACGTTCTGACGAATACCCGGGGTCGCCTCCTTGAGCCGTTTCTCCTCTCTTCTTCCCTGTCTCTTCTGAATTCTGGTGAGCCCACTCATTTGGACTCTCGGACTCGCACCCTTTCTTGTCTTGATCTTTCTCTCTGCTCTTCTTCTCTTTACTTAGATTTCACGTGGCAGGTTCTTGATGACCTCCATGGAAGTGATCATTTCCCCATCCTTGTTTCCTTTTTCTCTTTTCGCCCTTCCCTCTCTTTCCCTAGGTGGCAGTTTGCTAAGGCTGACTGGACCCTATTTACCCTCAGTGCTACTCTCTCTGACCTCTCCCTTCTGCCTCTCTCTCGCGCTCTCCTCCTTTTTCATGACACTGTCTTCGACGCTGCCCTCCGCTCTATTCCTCGCTCTTCCTCTCGGGGAACACGGAAGTGCGTTCCCTGGTGGAATGCGGACTGTGCTCGGGCTGTCCGCTGTAAGCGTGCAGCCTGGAAGAGGCACCGCCGTAGGCAGACGACCGATTCTTTTCTTTTCTTTCGGAAAGCGAGTGCGGTGGCCCGTAGGGCCATCCGTACGGCTAAACGTGAATGTTGGGCATCTTATGTCTCCACAATTACGTCCGAAACCCCTCTGGCCCAGATCTGGAAGCGTATCCGCAAGATAGCGGGTAAGTTCGTTCCCGATGTTTCACCGGTCCTTCACCTCCATGATACTCTTGTGGCGGACCCGTTGCAGGTCGCTTCCGAACTGGGTTCCCACTTTTCTTCTGTTAGCTCTGGTCTTCATCTTCCCCAATCTTTCCTTCTTCGTAAACCTGTCCTTGAGTCTCGTCCTTTAGATTTCTGCACTCATCTTCAGCTTCCCTATAATGATCCCTTCTCTCTCTCTGAACTTCGTTCTGCCCTGGCCCTCTGCGGTTCTACGGCGGCGGGCTCCGATGGTATTCATTATGAGATGCTTCGCCATCTCCCTCCGAGCACGTCTCAGTATTTACTGAGTCTGTATAATCGGATCTGGGAGTCGTCGTCAGTCCCTGAGGACTGGCTCGATGCCGTTGTCCTCCCTGTTCGCAAACCAGGGTCTCTGGGTACTTCCCCTAAGGACTTTCGCCCTATTGCTCTCACAAGTTGTGTCTGCAAACTCTTTGAACGTATGGTTAACGTTCGTCTGATGTGGTTCCTGGAACACCATCACCTCCTCTCCCCTTCTCAATTTGGTTTCCGCAAGTGCCGCAGCACGACAGATGTCCTGGTGAACTTGGAGGTCTATATTCGTACTGCTTTTGCTGCGAAGACCTCCGTTGTTGCCGTCCTTTTTGACCTGGAAAAGGCTTACGACACCACTTGGCGTTATCATATCCTATCTCAACTTCATTCTTTTGGCCTTCGTGGTCATCTCCCTCTCTTTCTCCGCAGCTTCCTCTCTCGTCGTTCCTTTCGGGTGCGCCTTGGTACCGCTCTCTCTCCCTCTTTTCAGCAATACGAAGGTGTGCCCCAGGGTAGTGTTCTGAGCACTACTCTTTTTCTGGTTGCCCTCAATGGTCTTCTTTCCTCTCTTCCTTCTGGTGTCTTCTCCGCTCTCTATGTCGATGATCTTACCCTTTGTTGTCAGGGTGATGATTCGCCTCTCCTTCAACGCCGGCTTCAACTTGCGATTGATGCCGTGTCGTCTTGGGCCACAGATCATGGCTTCAAGTTCTCTACTTCTAAGACTTGTGCCATGACTTTTACGCGGAAACGGGTTGTTCTTCGTCCCTCTTTGTCACTTTATGGTCATCCCCTTGAATACAAAGATTCCGCGAAGCTTTTGGGGTTATTCCTTGACACTCGTTTGTCTTGGTCTCCCCATATCTCTTACCTCCGTGTTGAGTGCTCTAAGGCCCTTACCCTCCTTCGGGTCTTGTCCCATACTTCTTGGGGGGCAGATAGGCGCACTCTCCTTGCTTTACATTCCTCTCTCGTCCTGTCTAAGCTCGATTATGGTTGCCCTGCTTACTCGTCTGCTTCTCCTTCTACTCTTCGCCGTCTTGATGCTTTGCACCATACTGGGTTGCGCCTCAGTTCTGGTGCCTTTCGTTCGACTCCCGTCCTTAGCTTGTATGTTGACACTGGCTTCCTGTCTCTCCAGGACCGCCGTGATCGCTACTGTCTTCGCTATCTTGCGCGGTCCTTGCAACATCCTTCCTCTCGCCTCTGTCGTGCTTTAACTTTTACCCCTCCTGCGGTTCCTGTTCCTCTTCACCACCTCCCTCTTTCTGTCCGGTTATCTCGCCTACAGGATTCTCTTTCCGTTCGTATTTCTGATGTTTCTCCTCGTGTTGTTCCTTCTTTGCCCCCGTGGAGGGTCCCTCTTCCGCGGTTTTGTACATCCTTGACCCGTATCACTAAAGCTTTTACCCCTCCTACAGTTCTAAAACGCCTTTTCCTCGAGCACTTTTCTTCTCACTCCCGCTCCGTTTCTGTCTTCACCGATGGGTCTAAGTCAGCGGACGGTGTTGGCTACTCTGTTGTTTTTCCTGATCGCACTTATATGTGTCGCTTGCCTCCGGAGACTAGCATCTTTACAGCGGAACTTTATGCTATTCTCTATGCTCTTCGTCTCCTGCTTTCTCGTTGTCAGTCTTCCTTTGTGGTTGTTGTTGACTCTCGTAGTGCCCTCATGGCTCTCGGGTCCTTTAATCCTGTTCATCCGGTAGTTGTCGAGATCCAGCATTGGCTGTTTCTCGTTCACAGTAAATTTAAGTCGGTTGAGTTTTGTTGGGTTCCCAGCCATATTGGTGTGTCTTTAAATGAGCGTGCGGATGCTGCCGCTAAGGAAGCTGTCCGCTCTTGTCCCATCTCTCGTAAAGGCATTCCGTATTCCGACTTTTACCCGGTTATCCATTCCTCAGTCCTTACCCGTTGGCAGGCTTCTTGGTTGTCTGTTACTGGTAACAAGCTACGTACTCTTAAATGTTGTGTTTCCTCGTGGCCGTCCTCCTTCCACCGTAACCGGCGGTGGGAAACAGCTCTGGCGAGGTTGCGTATTGGCCATACTCGCTTAACCCATGGTCACTTGATGGAGCGCCGCCCTGCTCCTTATTGTCCTAGTTGCATTGTCCCTCTTACGGTCGTGCATGTCCTTCTTGAATGTCCTGACTTCCAGGACGAGCGTGTGTCTTGCTTTCCGACCGCCCCTCGCGGTCACCTGTCCCTCGATAGAATTCTTGGTGACTCGGATACTTTTGATATCGTTCGCCTTATGCGTTTTTGTTCTCGTATTGGCATCCTTGGTGATATTTAGCGCCCTCTGATTATTTTGCGTATTTGATGGTGCTACATAGCCTTCCCGGTTTGGTGCCTTCTTTTGATAATTACTTACTTACTTTCATGAAAAACGGTTCATGCTGTGCGAGGCTGCATAGCTACTGATGCAACATTTTTAAAGTACAGACCTCGCAAGTGGTGCACTTGATGGTTAAGTATTATTAAACGTGTTGAATGTTAACAAACCTTTCTCTCAGATCTAACCTTTCATAATATTGCATGTTGCCACATAAATGGCCCCGTGCTAGCATTCATCAAACTCATCAATTTGGTGTAAAACTTCTGGCAAGACGTGCATCTCATGGTGAGGGCGAGCAACCTCATCAACGTGACCATCTACCACAAGACGTCTGTCTTGAGAAGGTCATCCTCAAGGAAGCCTCAACTCGACAGTGTGTGTACTGGGGGGAGAGTGAGGCGTGCTGCTGCAAGCAATTCGTTAATACGGATAGTTCAAGCTCGAGGAAAGGCATCTGCATATGCAAATTAGGCTATTATTGCCAGCAGGAAAGGTCGGAAAACTATTATATTACATGTACATTTTCTGTATTAAAGAAAGTGTTTAACAACATTAGGCAGACAGCTTCCACATGATATAATTTCACACTACTGCACCTGCCTTAACTTCCTACATTTAACTAAAAAATGTTCCAGTGTTTTAGTCACCATTGGACAGGATGCTGGGCCTGGTCACAGGCATGTTCGCTGACAAGAGATGTGACTGAGAGGTGTTAGCCAGTAAGACTGCACACACCTTGCAAGCTATAGTAGGACAAGGAAAATGATGCAGAGGAGGAACGATGCCAAACCACTTGGACCATCGGGGATTAAACACAGACCTGCACGAAGCAAGACCGTCTCGTACCGATCAGTCCAAGTGGTTGACAGATCGCTCACCACATGATGAGTCACAATAACGTGGCTAAAGACATGATGACCAAACTACACGTCACAAAATATTTTGGACTGAAACCGTGACTTGATAATGGTCCAGGACGGACCGAAACGTCGTCGTCTCTTCATTTTGTGATGTTGGGCTTCGTCATCGTTGAGCATCATGTAGAGTAAGGTCGGAGAGCACTGGCAGGTCTACCTGTGGTACTCTACCCCGGGCAGTACACACAACATCCTGTACAGCAGGCGAGGAAGGAGAGCACTGGCAGGTCTACCTGTGGTACTCTACCCCGGGCAGTACACACAACATCCTGTACAGCAGGCGAGGAAGGAGAGCGCTGGCAGGTCTAACTGTGGTACTTCACCCCGGGCAGCACACACAACATCCTGTACAGCAGGCGAGGAAGGAGAGCACTGGCAGGTCTAACTGTGGTACTTCACCCCGGGCAGCACACACAACATCCTGTACAGCAGGCGAGGAAGGAGAGCACTGGCAGGTCTAACTGTGGTACTTCACCCCGGGCAGTACACACAACATCCTGTACAGCAGGCGAGGAAGGAGAGCACTGGCAGGTCTAACTGTGGTACTTCACCCCGGGCAGTACACACAACATCCTGTACAGCAGGCGAGGAGGGAGAGCACTGGCAGGTCTAACTGTGGTACTTCACCCCGGGCAGCACACACAACATCTCGTACAGCAAGTGGGCACCCGTGGCGGCCGTCGTGCCCTCAAAGTCGTAGGGTGGAGACACCTGGGGAATATCTTCATAAATAACTTAAATGTACTAATTAGTTGTGTTTACATAGTAATAATCGCTTAATATATTTAATACTACGAATTATATTTGTTCATTTAAACAATTTTCAATTAGTTATATAAATGACAAGAATACCAGCATAATGTGTTCTATTTGAATACAGAATCATTACCGTAACTAGAATTATCAGGAGATAAGTTTTACAATGGTTATCAGTAACAATATGGAAATCAAATGCTTAGAACTTCAAAGTCTAGCCAGAGCATGGTTAAATTGTAAATATTTTGTTAAACTAAACATTTACGTACAAACAACTGCACAATTACTGGTGAACTCTTGTTCTTTACTAACACAGATAAGCCACTCAAGACGTACAGGTAAAACATCTGTAACTGAAAATAGACAGATAACACTTCTCAACTTAGATGAATAGTGCTGTGACTTAGATGAACAGTTGTGCTGTGACTGGGATGAAGAGTGCTGTGTGTTAGATGAAGAGCTGTGCTGTGACTGGGATGAATAATGCTGTCTCGTAGATGAACAGCCGTGCTGTGCCATGGATGAATATGCTGTTTCTTAGATGAACAGCTGTGTTGTGACTTAGATGAACAGCTGTGCTGTGACTTATAAGAACAGCTGTGTTGTGACTTAGATGAACAGCTGTGCTGTGACTTATAAGAACAGCTGTGCTGTGACTTAGAAGAACAGCTGTGCTGTGACTTAGAAGAACTGCTGTGATGTGACTTAGAAGAACAGCTGTGCTGTGACTGGTGTAAATAGTGTTGTGACCTAGATGAACAGCTGTGCAGTGACTTAGATAAACAGCTGTGTTGTGACAGGGATGAATAGTGCTGTTTCTTAGATGAAAAGCTGTGCTGTGACTAAGACGAACAGCTGTGCTGTGACTTAGATGAACAGCTGTGCTGTGACAGGGATGAATAGTGTTGTTACTTAGATGAACAGCTGTGCTGTGACTAAGATGAACAGCTGTGCTGTGACTTAGATGAACAGCTGTACTGTGACTCAGATGAACAGCTGTGCTGTGACTAAGATGAACAGCTGTGTTGTAACTTAAGATGAACAATTGTGCTGTAACTTAGATGAACAGCTGTGCTGTAACTTAGATGAACAGCTGTGCTGTAACTTAGATGAACAGCGTTGCAGTGACTTACATGAATAGTTGTGCTGTGACTTAGATGAACAGCTGTAACTTATATGCATTGTGCTGCGACTTATAGCAACACCTGCTACAACCAGGAATTAAAAACTATGTAACTTTATTGGCCAGGACCAGGAGTCTTTAAACATTTACGAGTATATTAACGAAATCTGTTTATCTTTCTTTTATCAATGGTGGCTTAGGCTGTATTTATTAAACAATTAACGAGTTTAGAATCTATGCAACACATGGCTAATATCATTATTAGTAGTAGTAGTAGTATTGTCCTATACAATCTTCTTCTTATCTTGAGGTTATCTCGAGATGATTTCGGGGCTTTTAGTGTCCCCGCGGCCCGGTCCTCGACCAGGCCTCCACCCCCAGGAAGCAGCCCGTGTGTCTTCATAATAACATAGGAATATGAAAATATGAAAAAAATATGAAAATAAAGGAAACTACAGAAAGTCTGTAATGGTCCACATGAGGCAGCTCTTATGTACATCTACCTAAACTCATATATTTCTAACCGTTGATTGAAACAATCCAGCAATTTAACCATGAGGTTTTGTAGGTTACTTAGATCTCTAGGTCAGGTCTATGTTATCTAGGTCTCAAGGTTAGATAACCTAGGTTATCTAACCTGGAGGTTATATTGAGGTTATCTTAAGATAACCTCAATATAACGAACTATCTTGAGGTTATCTCAAGATAACCTCTATTATGTTACGTGGTTATGCAACAAATTTGTTGCATAAATCAACAACTCTGTTTTCAAGCCAGTATTTACCCAGGTCTTTCCTAAATTTAAACTTATGTAGTCTGTTGTCATTGTTGTCAACACAGGTCAGCCATGTGGTTATTTATTTATCCCTCAGAACAATAAGTAAACCCTTGAATAATACCAATAAGTAAATAAGTACAATTATTTAATTAATGTTCCCTTTATTCAAGGGAACAATAAGTAAACCCTTGAGAAATCATGCCCTCATGCTGGGCATGAGGACCAAACTATCATACTTACTCAACACGAGGAATCACTTTATGCAAAACACATACAACGAATAAGACCCTGAAAAATATAACATGCTATTGTGAGTTCATTGTGTACAATGCATTATATTTCTAGTGTGACTCTTGCTATAACACGTACATAAGCAGGTCGTTTAAATATGGAACAAGTGGAAGGGATGACAGCGTAGCGGCAATATTTGCTTTTTTTAGAAGAGTTCCTCATTTGGACTTAAAGGTTTCTTATGGAGTAAATTCGAGACAAAAGTTCCTCATTTGGACTTAAAGGTTTCTTATGGAGTAAATTCGAGACAAAAGTTCCTCATTTCGACTTAAAGTTTTTTTATGGGGATCGCTGCAGTATTTCTAACATAGGTCAGACGTATGGGCCAATAAGTCTTCTTTGCTTCCTTAATTCTAATGTTCTAAATATGTAGGTCATTCACCTCAACCAGCTCACAGGCCCGACAGGTTCAGCACTAACCCCTCGAAGTAACGAACTCACTCTCCTCCACCGGAGCACACCCCATCAAGGACAAGGCTCACCTCCACTAAGTATCCCAGAAAACACAAAATGTTTTCTAACGTATTTATTTGGTAGCAGAAAGGTGACACTGTAACTATTTATACAAAGTCGTTTTTTAACGTTTAAAATACCCACATACTCACCTAGTTGTACTCACCTAGTTGTGCTTGTGGGGGTTGAACTGTGTCTCTTTGGTCCCGCCTCTCAACCGTCAGTCAACTGGTGTACAGATTCCTGAGCCTATTGGGCTCTATTATATCTACATTTGAAACTGTGTATGGAGTCAGCCTCTACCACATCACTTCCTAGTGCATTCCATTTGTTAACTACTCTGACACTGAAAAAATATTTATAATGTCTCTGTGGCTCATTTGGGTACTAAGTTTCCACCTGTGTCTCCTTGTTCATGTTCCACCAGTGCTGAAGAGTTTGTCTGTCCACACTGTCAATTCCCCTGAGAATTTTGTAGGTGGTTATCATGTCTCCCCTTACTCTTCTGTTTTCCATGGGAGTAAGCACCTTTAAGCTTCAGCTCCTTTAGCTTTTCCTCGTAGTCCATACCTCTCAGTTCCAGGACGAGTCTGGTAGTATACAACTGACTTTTCTCTAACTTTGTTTTGTGTTTAATTAGGTATGGAATCCAGGCTTGAGCTGCATATTCCAGGATTGGTCTGACATAAGTGGTATACAGGGTCCTGAACGATTCCTTACACAAGTTTCTAAAGGTAGTTCTTATGTGGTCCAACCTAACACTTGCCGTTGATGATATCCTTTTGATGTGGGCATCTGGGGACAGGTTCGATGTGATATCAACCCCCAGATCTTTCTCTCTGTTTGTCTCTTGCAGGATTTCTCCTCCCAGATAGTACCTTGTGTTCAGCCTTCTGCTCCCTTCGCCTAATTTCCTTTCATTTACACGTTCCTGAGTTGAAATTTAGTAGCCATTTTCTAGACTATTCCTCCAGTTTGTCCAGGTCATTCTGTAGTCTCTGTCTATATCTATCTATCTTGATTCTTCTCAGAACTTTTGCATCATCAGCAAACATTCAGAGGAATGATTCTATACCCCCTGGAAGATCGTTTGCATATATTAGAAACAGTTTGGATCCAAGAACAGAGCCTTCTGGGACTCCGCTGGTGACATCACTCCTCTCTGATGTCTCCCCTCCCCCCTTCACAGTTACTCGCTGTTTCCTGTTGCTTAGATACTCCTTTATCCACTGGAGCACCTTCCCTTTTACTCCTGTCTGTTGCTATAACTTTTGTAACAGTCTTTTATGAGGTACTGTGTCAAAGACTTTCTGGCAGTCCAAGAAAATGCAGTCTGCCCACCCTTCTCTTTCTTGTCAAATTTTTGTTGCTTGATCATAAAATTCTATTAAACCTGTGAGGCACGATTTACCATCTCTGAACCCATACTGGTGGTGTGTTACAAATCTATTTCCTTCCAGATGCTCTACGAGCCTTTGCCCTCACGATCTTCTACATCACCTTGCAAGGTATACAAGTTAGGGAAACTGGCCTGTAGTTCAGTGCCTCTTGCCTGCCACTCTGTTTTGTATTTTGAGCTATCCAACAGCCTCTGTCACATTCAGCTCCAACATATTTCTTTTGACTTCATCACTGGTGAGGTCAAATTCCTCCAAGGTTGCTTGATTTTGCGTGTGTGTGTGTGTGTTTACTAGTTGTGTTTTTTTTTGCGGGGGTTGAGCTTTGTTGAATCTGTGTTTGTTGTGTGTTGTGTGTGTGTGTGTGTGTGGTGTGTGTGTGGTGTGTGTGTGGTGTTGTGTGTGTGTGTGTGTGGGTGTGTGTGTGTTGTGTGTGTGTGTTGTGTGTGTGTGTGTGTGTGTGTGTGTTGTGTGTGTGTGTGTTTTGTGTGTGTGTGTGTGTGTGTACTCACCTATATGTGCTTGCAGGATCGAGCATTGACTCTTGGATCCCGCCTTTCTAGCTATCGGTTGTTTACAGCAATGACTCCTGTCCCATTTCCCTATCATACCTAGTTTTAAAATTATGAATAGTATTTGCTTCCACAACCTGTTCCCCAAGTGCATTCCATTTTTCCACTACTCTCACGCTAAAAGAAAATTTCCTAACATCTCTGTGACTCATCTGAGATTCCAGCTTCCACCCATGTCCCCTCGTTCTGTTACTATTACGTGTGAACATTTCATCTATTTCCACTTTGTCAATTCCCCTGAGTATTATATATGTCCCCTATTATATCTCCTCTCTCCCTTCTTTTCTCTAGTGTCGTAAGGTTCAGTTCCTTCAGGTGCTTTTCATATCCCATCCCTCGTA